CAACCACACTCTGAGGCAGAGAGTTTCACTGCTGAACAGCTCTTGAAGTCAGGAAGTTCTTTCTAATGTTCAGGTGGAATCTTCTTTCCTGTAATTTGAACCCACTGATCTGCCCTAGATTCCAGGATAGAAGAAAACAAGCCTGCTCCCTCTTCCTTATGACATCCTTTCACATATTTATACATGGCTATCATGCCTCCAGGAGCCCCCGGTGGCGCAGTGGGTTAAAGCACTGAGTTGCTGAGCTTGTTGATCGAAAGGTCGCAGGTTCGATTCCGGGGAGTGGTGTGAGCTTCCGCTGTCAGCCCTAGCTTCTGCCAACCTAGCAGTTTGAAAACATGCAAATGTGAGTAGATCAATAGGTACCGCTCCGTCGGGAAGGTAACGGCGCTCCATGCAGTCATGCCGGCCACATGACCTTGGAGGTGTCTACGGACAACGCTGGCTCTTCGGCTTAGAAATGGAGATGGGCACCAACCCCCAGAGTCAGACATGGCTGGACTTAATGTCAGGGGACTACCTACCTACCATCATGCCTCCTCTCAACTTTCTGTTCTGCAGGCTAAACATACCCAGCTCTTTAAGATGCTCCTCACAGGGCATGGTCTACAGACCTTTGATCATTTTAGTCGCCCTTCTCTGGACACCATTTTTTGAATATAAGTAGGCCCACGTACTATTTAGAAAATTAGTTTTTTAAAAGTGAATGAGGACAGTTATCATTAACTTATATTATCTTTGCACAGCAGCTTCTATGTAAGTGGGGCAACAAATCTATCCAGGGCTACAGTTAATCTGTCCAAGGTGGTGACTGATCCAAGGTCCTTCCAACCAAATTCAGATACCCTGGACAGTTCCCTTAAAGTTTCAAGGGCATTACCTGTGAGACACAAATTCCATTACAAAAAAAAAGTATGACGAGTTGACATTGTTATGCGACTCACATATGCTTTCTTTATAGGGATTGGGAAAATAATAACAAGCTGTTATTAGTAAGGAGTTGCTTAAAACTCTGACCAACATTTGAAAAGGCTAAGGGTCACAAATCCCCATCATGGAGGTGGTAGGGGGTCTTCCTACTGTCATGTTACAACTCCTATCAACCCTGTCTAATATAACCAAGGCCAAGGGCACTGCAGTCCAACAACATGCGTAGGGACAAATATCCTCCACTCTGGAGTACACCACATGGGGGAAATGAGCAGCTTGAGAAGTCCAAACGTGCATCTACACAGCAGAATTAATTCAGTTTGACACTACTTTAACTGCCATGGCTCAGTGGGACTTGTAGTGGGAGTGGGACACTGCTACAGTCTTTAGCAGTGAAAACAAAAGACCTTGTAAAACTGGAAATCCCATGATTCCACAGCACTGAAGCCGTGCCAAACTGCATTAATTCTACAGTGTAGATGCACCCCAAGTAAAGTGAAACTGGGTGGGGGTAGATTAAACTTCCAGCTTTTGTATTTAGAACCCACCTGAGCCCAGTCTAAGCATAGAAGCAACATCAATAATTTCCCACAAACACAAACTTCTTCATTAAACTAGTCCCAGCAAATGGGGAGTTTCTTTCCTGAGAGAAGCATGGAGAAGAGGCCATTGCAGCCTACAATGAAGTGGCACCATTATCTTCACCTTAGCCAAATACCTTGTAAGTCGTGATAGCAAGGGCCCTTCCACACAGCTATATAGCCCAGAATATCAAGGCAGATAATCTGCAATATCTGTTTTGAACTGGGTTACCTGAGTCCACACTGCCATATAATCCAATTCAATGTGGATTTTATACAGATGTGTAAAGGACCTGAGAAGAGATGAGGAAAATTACACAATATTATGTAACATAATTTTTGTTCCTGTGTTATAAATGTAATTTCCTAATTGGTTCTATCATAAAAGCATGGGAAAAAGTTGATTAAACTGCAAAAACGTTATTTTTGCAGGCCATGCTGCAGCATATTTTGCTATAGTTTTTCAATGAATATGTCATTGAGTCGCAACCAATTCAACATTGTTTGTGGTAGCCATGAAAACAAAGTTTCTGGAATAGAGCAACTACTTTCAAAGTACCACACAATTAAACAGGAAATAACACTTTCAAACCAGGAACAGATTTTTTTAATTGTGTTACATAGTGTTGTTGCTGCTGTTTATTTATATATTGTCATCAATGTTCTGGGCCAATGTATTTATATCGTATCAAAAACATTGCATAAATTAGTATAAAACTGATAAAAATAGAAGGAGCACAGGCAGCTAAATATATTTTGACCAAAAACAGGCAACAGCGACAGCTTTGTCTGTAGCCTCAAGCAACTCTTCCTCTGTACATGTGACAGGACATTGCCGACAAGCATACAGATGTGGAGCTGTCTGTTCTGCTCCACAGTCACACAAGGTGGAGGATTCTTCTAGGTAGTGCCATTTTGCCAGGTTGCCTTTTGATCTGCTAACTCCACTTCTGAGTCAGTTCAGGGACTTCCAAGTTGCCCATTTTTGGTTTGCCCCTAGAGGCAGACCCTCATGGGGAGCCATCCAATTGGGATTTCCTGGTTTAGCTGCCCAGAGGGATAATCTTGCTGTTGCTGGGGGGACACACGCCAAGAGGAGTGGTAGTTCTCATTAAGCTTTTCCTTGATTTTAGTCTACTGGGAGGAGGCTGGTAGCCATTTAGTGGATGGATTTCACAGTGTTCAACCTTATTTCGCTCACATTTAGCAGCAACTTCCTGCCGCACATCGGGGGGGGGGGGGGGATGCCAGCTAGCTTGTAGAGTTTATCAACAGGTGTAGGTTTAAGACATCCTGTGATTATTCTGCATGTTTCATTCAATCCTAATGCAGTTGAACAAGAAGGCAATTAGAGACAAAATCTTTGAGATGGACGTAATTGACAACTTGCGGACTAGTAAACAGCAGGGTTTCTCCACTTGGTATCCTCTACTAAAGAGTGACCAATATTGCCAACAATATCTTCAAGATTTAACATCTGTAGCCCTTAGGAAAGCATTTACAGCCCTGCGCTTTCAAACAATGCCATCAGGCTGGTTAGAGGGAAGACACAGAGGGATCCCTCATGCTCAACGTCTTTGTATATGTGGGTCTGGGGAAAGAGCGGATTTAACACACTATCTGCTACATTGCCCACTGTATAATGACCCCCGAAACAATCTTTTGGGAGCCCTTTTGGAAGAAAGGGCAGCATGGCAACAGTCAGCAGTTATCTGTGACTTGTTAGCAGATTATTCCAAAAATATAACATTAAAGGTTGCCACATTTGCAGTCGCAGCCCAAAAAATCCGAGCCAAACTAGTAAAGTCCACAGCAGAAGCTAGAAATGGAAATTAAGATATTTTGGGGATGATACAAACCAGACATTTGTAATTGTTATTATGTCACTACTATAATTTTAAAGAGCTAGTATGCTGTTGCAATCCAGAGCAGAGAACGAGGCCTAAGATAACTATCCACCACACTTGGCTGTGAAAAACAATCCTTTTTTATTGAAGAAAAATGGTTACAAAATAAAGGAAAAATGCAAGTCAAAAGCCACAGCAAAATCAGCAAACATGAATTTAAATGAACAAAAACAAAACCCAAAGCCACACTGTAAAATACTGGAACCTGTTAGCAATCCACTAACCGTACTTGATATCCTAGAAATCTTTCCAAACTATGGCCAGGGAACCGGGAGAACTGCCAAGGTCTTCATCAATTCTGAAACGATGCCTGAACTGAGGCAATCAGCCTGGCGTATTGCAATTAAAACTCAAGAATCGGTTCCGTGAACCGCCCTTCTGTTTTGAAGCCAATGTTTTTAATTCTTGAATTCGGGAGGATCGACGCAAACTGAGTGTTTACTTCTGTCTTCCCAAATTTGGCCCCTTCTGTTGTCATTACAGTTAACAGGTGCAGAAGGGAGGGAAAGTTCAAGGTCTCCCTCTGAAACATTCTCATGAACACTGGTACTTTCATTTTCCAAATCTACAGAAGTTCCTTCCTCACTAATTTCAGGAACATTGGCATTTTCCAAACCTACAGCAGTTTCTTCCTCACTAATTTCAGGAGCATTGGCATCAAAAGGTACATTTCCATTAGCATCAGTAAATATACTTTCATTAGCATCAGGAGGAACAAACAGAGAATCAGGTTCAAGTTCAAACTCAGGCTGAACCCCAACATATGCGGAACTTCTTTTAATACTTGCTTATACTTGCTTATTGTACTTTTAAAGGTTGTATATTTTATGTTATGGCCTATGGCTAGTACAATAAACAATCCATATACAACTACATGTTTCATTCAATGGGCCAATAAGAAGCGAGTTCTGATGCTACATGGGTCTGGGACCCAGGGCCCTTCCACACAGCCATCTAACCCAGAATATCAAGACAGAAAATCCCACAATATTTGCTTTGAACTGAGATATTTGAGTCCACATGCCCATATATTCAAGTTCAAAGCAGATAATGTGGGATTTTATTCAGCTGTGTGGAAGGGGCTTTAGATTCCTTCTCCAGGCTGCAGAACCTATGGAGAAAGTGAGGCTACATTGGGATGGAAAACTTCTGCGTCTGGGGATCATTTTTCTCATTCACCAAAATACAACTCCAATGATTCCACATCATTGAGCCATGGCAACTAAAGTGGTGTCAAACTGCATTAGTTCTACAGTGTAGAGATGCACCCAATTGTCTGATTTGCTTCTCCCAGAAATTCCCATAGAGATGTGCTGGAGAGCCTAGTAAAAAGCTAGAGTATACCTTTCTAGCAACCACTGGGTCCTCCATCAAAGCTCTATGTCATTCTAGTCATTTATTTCAATGGCAAAATCTGAATTATTTGAGTTTTCTAGTAATTGCAATCCATTTAGGAATGTATGCCTTCCTTGACAGATTCTGGGGCCTTGCTGCATAAACATACACCCATAAATAGGAAAGGAATAAGAACTATACAACTCTCAAACAAATTGTCCAGAGACATCACTTCTTGGCTACTTACATTTCCGCAGGAAGTCCTCTGCGCTCCTCATCCAGCCCTACAGCATTCCCCGCGCACAAGGTGTGTACAAAAACTATCGCGAGATCTCCTGTGGACACGAGAGGAGAAGAGGCATGCTCTTCTGTCCCATCTCTAGCACTGCCAAAGACATACGGACTCCCACCCTCCGCTAAGCTCCGCCCATCTCCTCTAGGAAGCAGCGTCTCCCCGTTGTGGCCTTCGAATTGTTTTGGACTTCAGCTCCCAGAGTCCCCGGTCATCGGACAAAGCAGCTGAGGCTTCTGGGAGTTGAAGTCCAAAAAACCTCTAGGGTTTGAGTCACCATAGAGATAAAAAATAATAGAGTGTATAGTATAGAGACATCCAGAGATTCGCTTTCTTTATTCGTCTCATACAATAAATTAAGCAGAGTTTGATGGGATTTCCCTTCCCCACAACTGTATAAAATCCCACGTTGTCTCCTGTACTATATAATATAATATAATATATTGTATATACATATAATATTTATATTATAATATAATGCAATATAATACTAATAATATATTATAATTATAGATTTATATTACATGCAATATTACTAATATTATATGTAATATAAAGTTTGTCCTCATATTGCACTGCCCCCAGCCTGTATGAAGGCCTGTCTCCACTACTCCGTTGTCCATGAGTCTCTCCCTTACAAATATATCTGTTTTATTTCTTTCTCATCCAAGGGTGCACCTACACTGTAGAATTAATGTGGTTTGGCACCACTTTAACTGCCATGGCTCAATGGTATGGGATCATAGGAGCTCTAGTTTGGCAAAGCCTTTGGACTTCTCTGCCAGAGAGTGCTGGGGCCTCACCAAACTACAACTCCCATGGTTCCTCAGCATCGAGCAGTTCCAAGTGGTGTGAAACTGAATCACTTCTATGGAATAGATGTGGTATGGACTTTGTCGATTCAAGAAGGTAAAATGCATAATTTCCACACTGCCCTTTATCCCGGGATCTGATTCCAGGGCCCATCCACACAGCCATATAACCCAGAATATCAAGGCAGATAATCCACAATATCTGCTTTGAACTGGGTTATCGGAGTGCCCTTTCACACAGGCCTATATCCCAGAATATCAAGGCAGAAAATCCCACAATATCTGAGTGTGGACTCAGATAATCCAGTTGTTGTTGTGTTCATTCATTCAGTCGTTTCAGACTCTCTCTGACTTCATGGAACAGCCATGCCAGAGCTCCCTGTCGGTTGTCACCACCCCCAGCTCTTTCAAGGTCAATCCAGTCACTTCAAGAATACCATTCATCCATCTTGCCCTTGGTCGGCCCCTCTTCCTTTTTCCTTCCATTTTCCTCAGCATCATTGTCTTCTCTAAGCTTTCCTCTCTTCTCATGATGTGGCTAAAGTACTTCATCTTGGCCTCTACTATTCTTCCCTCCAATGAGCAGTCGGGCTTTATTTCCTGAAGTATGGACTGTTGGATCTTCTCGCGGTCCAACGCACTCTCAGAATTTTCCTCCAACACCATAATTCATAATCCTTCGTCCTTTCAGCCTTCCCTATGGTCCAGCTCTCACATCCGTAGGTGACTATGGGGAAATACCATGGCTTTGACTAGGCGGATCTTTGTTGCCAGTGTGATGTCTCTCTAATCTTCACTATTTTATCAAGATTGGTCATTGCTCTCCTCCCAAGAAGTAAGCGTCTTCTGATTTCCTGGCCACAGTCTGCATCTGCAGTAATCTTTGTATCTAGAAATACAAAGTCTGTCACTGCCTCCACGTTTTCTCCCTCTATTTGCCAGTTGTTAATCATTCTTGTTGCCATAATCTTGGGTTTTTTTATATGTTTAGCTGCAACCCAGCTTTTGCGCTTTCTTCTTTCACCTTGATTAGAAGGCTCCTCAGCTCCTCCTCGCTTTCGGCCATCAAAGTGGTGTCATCTGCATATCTAAGGTTGTTAATGTTTCTTCCAGCCTTGCATTCATCAAGCTCTGCATGTTGCATGATGTGTTCTACGTACAAGTTGAATAAATAGGGTGTGAGTATACAGCCCTGCCATACTCCTTTCCCAATCTTGAACCAGTCTGTTGTTCCATGCGTCAGCTTCATTCTACTGTTACGAGTTACTTTAGACCTTATACAGCATCCTCAGGAGAGAAGATCAAGGCATTGATAGTAGCCATCAGGCCTGTAGCGAGGGGAGGGGGGGTTTAGGTAAAACCCCCCCGAAATTTTTCAGGTTAAAAAAACTGGTTTACTCATGAATTTTAACTGGTTAACCAAATCCCCATGCTAAGTCTATGAGACGCAAAAAATTAAGAGTCCCTCCAGAACTGCAAGCACTATCTCAAGCAAATATTGACAATTTATTCACACTGTCATTACTTGCAGCAATAGCCGATGTAGCGAAGCAACCAAGTTGGGGTGGGGGTGTTGAATGCTCTCATTAAGGAGGCCAGACTTGGTGGAGGTGGTTGACAGGGGAGGCTGCAGGCTATTGAAGGCTGCTCTGCCCCCTGCTGTGCTCTTTGCTTCAGCGTAGCTAGGAGGCAGGTTTCAACCCCCCTCCCAAATTTCACCCCCCCCCCCCGAAATTTTCAACCCTCCCTGAATTTTTTTTCTGGCTACGGCCCTGCATACCAAGAACTTGCCACAATTTAACCCAGTGCAAACCCTATATCCTGAGATATAGGGCTGTTTGGAAGGGACCTAGGAAGCTAAGCAGAGTCAGTCCAGGTAAGGCCACCAAAAATACCAGGTTTGATAGGTTATATTTCAGAGCCCTTCTACACAGCTGTGTAAAATCCACATTATCTGCTTTCAACTGGATTATACGGCAGTGCAGACTGCCATATAATCCAGCTGAATAAAATCCCACATTTTCTGCTTTAAATTGGAATATATGGCAGAGTGGAATCAGATAACCCAGTTCAAAGCAGATATTGTTGCCCTGATATTCTGAGATATAGGGCTGTGTGGAAGGGCCCTGAGTCCACACTGCCATATATCCCAGTTCAAAGCAGCATTATAAAATGTAATATACATTCCGAGGAGAAAGCACCACGCTGCATCAAAGGAGCAGAGAAAATATCTGCAGTCGATGAAAATGATATTGAAACCAATCCATGACTAGGGGGGCGGGGAGAGTAGGAGGAACAGCGGAGGGCATTCCCTCCTCCGCGCCGCCACCCCCCGCGACGCCCAGTTGACAGGAACAGGAAACGTGAGTGACAGCTGGGCGGCGTCTTCCGGGGCGGGGCCGGGGAGAGGAGAGGGCCGCTGCTGTGGCAACGGGCTCAGGAGGGGGGGGTTCCGTCTTCTCCCAAAATGGCGTCCTCGGGAGGCGGCGGTGGAGGTGTCAACCCCTTCCTCAGCGACTCGGAAGAGTCGGAGGGCGAGGGAGCCAGGCCCGGGGGCGACGGGGGCCCCCACAGCCCCAGCGAGCCTCCTCCCCCGCCTCGCCCGCCTCTTCCTGCTGCTGCCCCCGCGGCCCCGCTGCTTCCGCCGCCTCCTTCTCCCCCTCCGCAGGCCGAGGAGCCTCCTCGTGTGGCCGTGGACGCCCTGGCGGCCCAGCTGCTGCGCGACCAGTTCGTGCTGACGGCGCTGGAGCTGCACACGGAGCTGCTGGAGAGCGGGCGGGAGCTGCCCCGCCTCAGGGACTACTTCTCCAACCCGGGCAACTTCGAGCGGCAGAGCGGAGCCGGAGGAGCGGGAGCGGGCACTCCCGCGGCGCCCACCACCCCCGCCGCCCCCGGGGCCACACTGCTCGGCCTCGCCGCCGGGAAGGAGGCCAACGCCGGACAGCTCCGTAAGTGCACGCCCGCCCGCCCGCAGGTGGAGCTCGCTCGGCTGACCTTGGGGGGAGCCCGGTTGCCTTCCTTGCTTTTTTCAGGCAGTGCCAGCTGAGGCCCCTTCCACACAGCTGAATTAAAACCCACATCATCTGCTTTGAACTGGAAGAGATGGCAGTGTGGACTCAGGGCCCTTTATCCCAGGATTTCAAGGCAGGAAAACTGACATTTTCTGCTTTGAACTGGGTTATTTGAGGGCCCTTCCACACAGCCCTATATCCCAGGATATCAAGGCAGGAAAACCCACATTATCTGCTTTCAACTGGATTATTTGAGGGCCCTTCCACACAGCCCTATATCCTAGGATATCAAGGCAGGAAAACCCACATTATCTGCTTTGAACTCGGTTATTTGAGGACCCTTCCACACAGCCCTATATCCCAGGATATCAGGCAGGAAATCCCACAATGTCTGCTTTGAACTGGGTTATTTGAGGGCCCTTCCACACAGCCCTGTATCCCAGGATATCAAGGCAGGAAATCCCACAATGTCTGCTTTGAACTGGGTTATTTGAGGGCCCTTCCACACAGCCCTGTATACCAGGATATCAAGGCAGGAAATCCCTCAATATCTGCTTTGAACTGGGTTTTTGAGGGCCCTTCCACACAGCTCTATATCCCAGGATATCAAGGCAGGAAATCAATGCCTGCTTTGAACTGGGTTATTTGAGGGCCCTTCCACACAGCCCTGTATCCCAGGATATGGAGGGAGGAGATTCCACATTATCTGCTTTGAACTGGGTTATCAGAGGGCCCTTCCACGCAGCCCTGTATCCCAGGATATCAAGGCAGGAAAACCCACACTATCTGCTCTGAATTGGGTTATTTGAGGGTCCTCCCACACAGCCCTGTATCCCAGGATATCGAGGCAAGAAATACCACATTTTCTGCTTTGAACTGGGTTATTTGAGGGCCCTTCCACACAGCCCTGTATCCCAGGGTATCGAGGCAGGAAATCCCACAATGTCTGCTTTGAACTGGGTCATTTGAGGGCCCTTCCACACAGCTCTGTATCCCAGGATATCAAGGCAGAAAACCCCACAATGTATGCTTTGAACTGGGTTATTTGTGGGCCCTTCCACACAGCCTTATATCTCAGGATATCAAGGCAGGAAATCCCACAATGTCTGCTTTGAACTGGGTCATTTGAGGGCCCTTCCACACAGCTCTATATCCCAGGATATTAAGGCAGGAAATCCCACAATGTCTGCTTTGAACTGGGTTATCTGAGGGCCCTTCCACACAGCCCTGTATCCCAGGATATCGAGGCAGGAAACCCCACATTATCTACTTTGAACTGGATTATTTGAGGGCCATTCTACACAGCCCTATATCCCAGAATATCAAGGCAGGAAATTCCACAATCTCCTTTGAACTGGGTTATCTGAGTTCACACTCAGATAATGTGGGATTTTTGGCCTTGATATCCTGAGATATAGGGCTGTGTGGAAGGGCCCCCAGTTCAAAGCAGATATTGTGGGATTTTCTGCCTTGATATTCTGGGTTATATGGCTGTGTGGAACGGCCCATAGATCTGAGCCCTTGCCCAGAATGCTTGGGGCCCTATTGAGACATCCTGGAGATGATGTCCTAGTCTAAACAGGCAATTAATGTGTCAACTTCCCAGGCCTATAGGCTATGTGTGCAAGGTGTACCCATACAGCAATAATACTTATACACTCATAGACACAAACATACTGAGCAACAATTACACATCGAACTACACAAGATACATTTCTATTCTACTGACAGGCAGCCCCCAAGTTACTACAGTAAGTGTAGCTGTAGTATACACACACACACACATAATAATAATAATAATAATAATAATAATTATAATACTTTTACATGCATAGGCACAGACATGCCGAGCAACAATTACACACCAAAGATACATCTCTATTCTAATGACAGGCAGCCCCCAAGTTTCAAACAAGAGAGGTTCTGGAGGTTTGTTCTTAAGTTGAATTTGTATGTAAGTTGGAATCTTTACATTTTTGAAGTGTAGGTCCAGCTATCTATCTATCTATCTATCTATCTATCTATCTATCCCTCTATATCTATCTATCTATCGTACACACACACACATACATGCACACAAAAGTAATACTTATACATACCTAGGCACAGACGTACCGAGCAACAATTACACATCAAAGTATACAAGATACATCTCTGTTCTAATGACAGGCAGCCCCCAGGTTACAGATAAGATAGGTTCTGTGGGTTTGTTCTTAAGTTGAATGTATATGTAAGTTGGAACAGATATATTTTTGAAGTGTAGCACCAGCCACACACACATACATGCACACAACAGTAATACTTATACTTAGACACTGAGGCTCCTTCCACATCGCTGAATAAAATCCCAGCTATGGTAGTGTGGATGCAGAAAACTCAATTCAAAGCAGATATTGTGGGATTTTCTGCCTTGATATTCTGGGTTATATGACTCTGTGGAAGGGCCCTTACATACCCAGCAACAATTACACATCAAACTACACAAGATGCATCTCTGCTGTAATGACAGGCAGTCCCCAAGTTACTACAGTAAATGTAGCTGCAGTCATACAAACACACACACATACACACAGAAATAATAATAATAATAATAATAATAATAATAATAATAATAATACTTTTACATATATAGGCACAGACATATCAAGCAACAATTACACATCACACTGCACAGGTTACATCTCTGTTCTAATAACAGGCAGTCCCCAAGTTACTACAGTAAATGTAGCTGCGGTCATACACACACAGAGAAACATAATAATAATAATAATAATAATAATAATAATAATAATAATATTTTTACATACACAGGCACAGACATACTGGGCAACAATTACACATCAAACTACACATGATACATCTCTACTTCTAATGACAGGCAGCCTCCAAGCGACAGACAAGATAGATTCTGTAGGTTTCATTCTTAAGTTGAATTTATGTGTATGTCAAAACAGGTATATTTTTGAAGTGTAGCTCCAGCTATACACACACATCAGTAATACTTATACATACATAGATACAGAGAGACCGAGCAACAATTGCACATCAAACACACAACATACATTTCTATTCTAATGACAGGAAGCCCACACGTTACAGACAAGATAGGTTCTGTACATTTTATTCTTATGTTGAATTTGTGTGTAAGTTGGAACAGATACATTTTTAAGTGTAGCTCCATAGATAGACAGATAAATAGATATATTATGTATGCACACATACACACAACAATAATACTTTTACATACATAGACACAATGTATCCAGCAACAATTATACATCAAACTACACAACATACATCTCTATTTAAATGACAGACAGTCCCCACGTTGTAGACAAGATCGGTTCTGCAGGTTTGTTCTTAAGTTGACTTTGTATGTAAGCTGGAACAGGTACATTTTTAAGTGTAACTCAGTCTCTCTCTCCCCCCTCTCTCTCCCTTTCTCTCTATATATGTATGTATATGTATCTGCACACACATACACACATACTCAACAATAATACTTATACATACATAGACACAGACATACCTAGCAACAATTACACATTGAACTAGATAACATGCATATCTATTCTAACTATAGGCAGCCCCCAAGTTACAGACAAGAAGAGGGATATTGTTTAAGTGTAGTCCAGCCAAATATATATCACAGAACTGCAGTACTTATACATACATAGGCACAAACATACTGAACAACAATTATACATCATATATCACACATTATAGCTTTGGATAGAATAGGGAAGGATTAACACCCCTGTAAATGTTTGTTTTACTGTCTGTTGCCCTGTTTAGAAGATTTCATCTCTCTGTGATTTTGAAAATTTTGGGTTGTTGTAGAAACAAGACTTGATTCTAAAACTTCAGTGGAGATTCCCTTTCCCTGAGATCACACTTTTAGGAGTGGATTTCCCTTTCTAGGGGTAGATTTCTCTCACTTCATGTTGTCCCATCTGTGTTCTTAACTATGAGTCGTTTGTAAGTTGTATGTTTGTTACTCAGGGACTGCCTGTATACAGTTCTGGCTTCAAGTTGATTCTTGTCTTAAGGATCTCTTGGTTTACCCCATGAATTTGTATACATAGGTCTAACCTATAAACATGTATATACATACATGGATTTTAAAAATTGATTTTTTTGCTTTCATTCTTTTGTTTTCTTCTCTCTTTATTGGTTTCTCTGTAGTTCAATATTTTTTTCTTCTCCATTATGTCGCACAAATCATTTACTTCTTATTTTAACATTAATAAATATCTCAACCATTTTTATTTTCAAACCTATACACAATACCTTTCCCTTTCTCTTAGATATATATCAGTAAAACGCTTTCATTCCTCTAAAAATGTGTTCAGTGACTCAACAGCACTGTTAACTTGTCTGTTATTTCCCACATCTTTACTCTTACAGTTTACTGTTAGTATCTGTCGTATTCCATTTTTGAGCATATAAAACTCCTGCCACTGTTAGCATGTACTACAATATACTTAAATGCTCCTTTTTTATTTGGTCATCCAACAGTGCTATTAATACAGTTCTGGCTTCAAGTTGATTCTTGTCTTAAGGATCTCTTGGTTTACCCCATGAATTTGTTTATATGAAACATAAATGAATTTGTAGCAAAGGCATCATTATCTCAGCCTCCCACGTGGACTATTTTGGAGTTTCAGATAAGGGATGCTCAGCCTGTATGTACTTATTGTATTTTACACCTCTGCTGCTTAATCAAAGTTAGGTTTTAAATGGAAGCAGGGATCAGAGACTCAGGGTGTCTTTATGCTGTGTAATTAATGCAGTTTGTTTATTTTAATTTCTGACTCCTCTTTCCCCGGCTTTCCTCATAATGACAGCACAATTGTAATAGGCATGTTTACAGAGAAATTCTGCTGAAAACAGGAGAGTGCACCTATACTGCAGAATTAATGCAGCTTGACATCACT